GACTTGGTTCTATGGTAGGTCTTAAAGGGTTAAAGCCAACATAAACACAGTTACAACTGAAGTCTAAAGAAAGAAATCGTTGTTTGCATCAGTCTTCTTTTTGTCTCTTTAAAAGTGAATCCGATTGTTTGCTGGAGTCCACCCTCACACTCTGAGACGGCCCCTTTAAACACTCGCTGATCACTGACACACTCAGTTGCCGTGAATCTTCCAGAGGCTCAGCATTCTTGGGTTCCTTGTTGTCCATTTTGCACTCTCTCCACGGGTGAGTTTGCCTTTAAGACATTTAAATCAAGGATTATATTTTTTCAAAAATAGGTGTAATATTAATATGTAACTAAAACTTCTTTATTAACTCTAAATATTCAAAGCTGGAGATGCAGAATAACTGCAGGAGGAAGATGAAGGGCTGCACTTAAAACTGAAAACCACAGTTTTAGTTTTGATATTAATCACAGTAACCTGATTGAAACTTACACACTGAACTGCTCATAGTCTAAAGTATCATTAACATTTATGATGACGTGTAAATCAACACACACACTTCTATTGCTTATTGTTTATAACTATTTATGAATAACCAGGCAACCGTTGTGGAAACAGATGTTTCCATGGGAACTAAAACATCTGATCAAAATAATATACACTGATGATGATAATGAGCCTTTAACAATCATATCAAGTTTACAGTAAGCTTGTGCAGGTATTAACTGATTTATGAGTTAACATTGTAATAGATGATTTATATGTGCAGGTTCTTTCTTATACTCATCAAAATGTTTCTGTTTATTGTTTTTATTTAAAGTAATGAGCACAAGTAACTGTTTTTGGTTACTAGTAACAAACTGCTTAAAGATACAATTTAAAATTGTTTTGATGGTCTGTTATGTGTAGACGGAGCCGGTTCATATCTTGTGTGTTTTTATGTGTGAATGATTCATCACTCAGTGTAAACTTTCCTCTGAAAATAGCACAAAGCCTCGACTGAAAGTGAGTGAAAAGACATCCGATGTCCAGCGACTCTTAAGGATCTTCAGAAAGCTGATGAACACTTTTTAAAAACAATTTCAAACCACGACTCTTTGAAAGCAACATTTAAATAAATTAGGGCTGGATCAAGACTTTTGCACAGGACTGTGACTCATGGCATATAACCCTTTTAATACACGTTTAACTTTAAATCAACCCTCAACTATTCTTAATAATAAAACCGTACGGATGTTTTAATGTAAACTCTCCTGCAATAAGAACTGAATGCAGTGTTGGACTGAGAGCTGCACCAGCAGTGAAACGAGGTGTGATATTACTCCACGTCGCTTTTCCTTTGGTATGTTATCGCAGTCTGAAGATCAAAGCTGCTGCATGGTTTCTGCTGATGCCTGCTGCGGTTAAATGACAAAACACTGAAATCTATTTGTTTCAATGAAGGGGAAACGTTACGTGGAATACTTAATTGTGCAAGACCTGCAGATTTCTGCTATTGGGAAACGTAAAGATCTGGATAGTGATGACCTTTACTAGTTATCATGCTTCGTTTTATTGACCAGTTTTTAAATAAAACAACAAAATTTGCGTTGAAGTCCACGTCAGTAAACCTGCACAAACTTGATTTGTTAATCGCACTTAGAATGCAAATTCCAGCATCTTTTCACCACCTTATCATATATTTTTGTGTGTAGTCCAGATTGGAATTTTGGAAAACACATAATTCCTATGGACTTAAATGCAACAGTAAGATAAGGTATTAACAGTTAATGTGATGTGAATGTGACCTGAATGTAATGTCGATTAGAATAAGTCACAAAGGTGCGTTTTGGGTCCTTCAACAATTCCACACAGCTCATCCTACGAGCCGCGACAGCTTATGAGCAAAAAACCAGCCCTTTCGTGTTGGTGGAAAAATGCACCATGTCGACCAATCAAATCTGATATGGCAACATGACATTTGGTTGTTTAGGGAGAGGAGTGAGAGAGAGAGAGAGAGAGAGAGCAGAAAAAGAGAGAGAGCGAGTTTTGAGATGTGAGAGATTTGTGACGTTTAGCGTGTTTGGAGTGTGTAGTTAATGTGTTGTCTTGTGTAGTTAGCATGTAGTGTTGTGGATAGTTTTGTGTTGTGTGTCAGATCAATGACGTGACTGCTGTCTCCAGGTAGAAACAGCAGTGACACACCTGCTGCTGTCAGACCTGCAGGTATCAGGCTGTGATGTTTCCTTTATAGTGGACAGAAATTATTTTTTGAAGTGGCACAAATAATTTGTGGCATCTTACTGAAGAACAGCTGATTGTTCTGTAAATAGTTTGAAATGGTTACTAAAGAAAGGTAAATGGCTGCAAATAATTTTGTTGTTTGCAAAACTTGTGCACATGATTTTAAAATTGACCATTTATATTTGCATTTAAAGTTATGAAATATGATTCAATAAACATGTTTGTGGTTGTTATAGTAAAAAATATAACTTTTTCTATTATTCTAATATAAGTTTCTACTCTGATTTTATGTTTTTTGTCTGATTTGTGTCTGAACTGTAAATTCAGACACGTGAGGTTGTGCTGATGATTCCAAACAAGGCAAATAAACAGTTTTTAAAGGTGGAGGGAAATGGCCGATTACACCCTGGAGCCCAGAGGGTTAAACATTTTTTTAAGTAACGCAATAGTTACTTTTCAAGTATTTTAGAATTTTGTAACTCAGTTACTAACTTAGTTACTTTTTTGAAGAAGTAACTAGTAACTATAATTAATTACTTTGGAGAGGCGGCTGACCCAGAAACCAAAGCTTTCAAGCTACCAGTCACACTCACTTTGTTTCATGACTTTGCTCTGAGAGCTCTTTGCACTAAAAGACCCAGTTAAAGGTTAAAGTTAAAGGAATCTAATCATGACGCCTCCTGGGATAATCACTTAAACAGTGTTGTAGAGCATCTTTCTAAAACTGCCAACATCGTTTATTTTTCTACTCATAAAGATGTAATGTTTTAGAGGTAAATAACGTGTATATACAGAATGTTCTATCATGGATGTAGCGAGCAGGACAACCATCGACAGGGTAACATCCCAACAAAGTCCAAGTCTACTGTAACTCTGCTACCTGCCAGCTCGCTGTCTGGTTTCTCTTACATGCGCCCATCAGATTATATTGAAGTCATGTGTTTGACAAATGTCAGGATCAGCATGAGATCTGGAAAAATTCAGAGGAAGAAATGTAGTTTCAGTTTGCAGTCTGATGAGACTGCAGTGGCAAGTTAAACATCTGAGGTATTTATAAATATTTTATTGTTTTTGCAAAACTTTTAATAATCACGTTATGTTGGGATGAGCCTGGTTAATGTAACAATATTCCAGATTGTTACATTGCAAATACAACAGCCTAAAGTTCAAATGTAAATGAGCCTGTTTTGCTGGAAATGAGTCATTTCTTTGGTGGAACTATTACACACCAGTGGAGAGGAGCAGGACTTGTTTAAGTCAGCAGTTTCTCTTCTCAGTTTTGAAACAGATGAACCCAACAGGATGGAGTGTGCAATGATTGGGTTAGTTATTTCATAATGCTACTCTGTCCTTATAGCTTTGAAAGGAGTGCCTTAAAGTGATCTTCAATAGACCTGGCCATTTTTGTACCCGTCAAACTGTGTCTGATAATATATAGCATAAAGTTGGGATGCTCTGTGAAATAGGAATAAAAGCAGAATGCAGTAATTTGCTAATCTCATCAACCTGTGAGAAGTTGGAATAAACTTCTTTGGAGCCCATTGCTCCTGAGAAACCGGTTATTGTTGTGAATTTTACACGTGTCTGAAGGAATCGTTATACATTGGAATGATTGCTTGTGCGCTGATTTACATTAGTGCACAAATATGGTGTCATAGCTAGTTATGTAGCTATGGGAATAATGGCATATCATGCTGTCCCTGAGGTCCAGTCTGGCAGTCTCACACTAAGGGACAAGGTGCCTAAACTCATCAGATGTTCCTTCTTGTGTTTTAAGAGCATGTTTTTCCTGACTAAAACGAGTCTTTAATGTTTCTTGTGCCACAGGGTAAACCGCAGCCATGGACGATGGAGACGACCAATTTAATCTCTTTATGTATCTGTTTAACAACACGGAGACGACTGACCAAAGCTACGTGGTCAGTGAAACTGTCCAGCTCTGTGACAAGAAAGGTGTCAATGAATTTGGTGCAAAATTCATCCCAGTTTTCTACTACGTCAATTTCCTCTTGAGTTACCTTGGCAACGGGCTTGTCCTCTTCATCATCTACAAGTATGAGAAGCTCAGCACAGTGACAAACATCTTCCTCCTGAATTTGGTCCTGTCCAATATCCTGTTTGCCGCCAGCCTCCCCTTCTGGGCCACGTACCATCTATCTGAGTGGATGTTTGGAAATGCCCTGTGTAAGATGGTCAGCAGTGCCTACTTCATTGGTTTCTACAGTTCCATCCTCTTCCTTACACTTATGACATTTGACAGATACCTAGCAGTGGTGCATGCAGTGGCAGCTGCCAAGAGCAGGAAAAAGCTATATGCTATCATTGCATCTGTGATCGTTTGGTGCATCAGTGTTGCAGCGAGCGTCAAAGAGCTGGTTCTTCGAAACGTCTGGAAGCACGCTGTCACTGGACTGATGTGCGAGGAGTCCGGATTCTCAGATGTCACCATGAAGCACTGGCATCTTTTCAGTTACTACCAGCAATTTCTGCTCTTCTTTCTTCTCCCCCTGTTCATGGTGATGTACTGCTACATCAGCATCACCATACGCATCATGTCCACCCGCATGAAAGAGAAGTGCCGTGCCATAAAGCTCATATTTGTCATCATCTTCACCTTCTTCGCCTGCTGGACTCCATATAATATCGTCATCCTTCTTCGAGCGATACAGATCTCCAGTTCCATTGAAGAGTCGTGTTCTAGCGCAGAAAGCTTGGACTATGCACTTTATGTGACCCGAAACATCGCCTATTTGTATTGTTGCATTAGTCCTGTGTTTTACACCTTTCTAGGAAAGAAGTTTCAGAGCCACTTCAAGAGGCTGGTGGGTAAGAAGATTCCTTGTTTGAAGAGACACATTAGCATCAATAGCCAGAGCACCAGGACAACGTCACAGCGGACACCACACTCTTTATATGAGTACTAAACACCCACATGTGTGTTGGTCTATTGTTGTAACGTCTCTCGCTGATGCGTTCTTTAGGCCATCTGTCACCAATGTAACTGGCAAAGGTCCGAGATGATTGCTACAATCATTTTGTTACATCCCTACATTCCATTTTTCAGTAATGCAGTAATGTAACATTTTACTGTAGCAAATTCAGTAATTACATTAGTTACAATTATGTTGTTACTTACAAAGGTTCTTCACTTGTCTAAGTAAGTACAAGTTGGTTTTTCCAGCACATTTCACAGACAGATGTCAGATCTGTGCACCAAGCAGATACAAAAACAAAATCTGTTTCATCTTTATATGTTTTTTTCTTCCTGCTACTTGAACAACTGATTTCAGTTCATGTGCGAGTGGAGGAAAATGCTGGAGCTTTTGGGAAACGTGAACATTTATTTTTCTTGTATAATAGCGTGGTAGCACAGTGCAAACTGCATCCAGGGCAGAAAAAAACTCTTTATACTGCTAACACAACTTTGGCTCAATCATCGGCTCAGACAGCATGCTAATGCAACGCTAGCAGAGGGATTTTAAAGCCGAGTCTTTGCCAACCCAAGCTCAGCAGACAGAACTTGAACTGCAACAGGTACCAAAAAGTGATTAGCAGTCAAACTTCCAGTGTCCTGTGGCGACCGCTTTGAACTCTGGTTTCATCTTTGCTTTGTGTTCATATGTAAATACTAGAAAGAAATCATATAGGTAGCCTAATGTGCAACGAATCCTTCTCTTATTAAACATAAACATTGTAGAAATACTGCTGAAGTGTACTTTTATTTGATACAATTATTAGGCTACTTAAAATCATATTGCCTTGAATTATAATGCATGTGAAACTTTGATATTCTGAATCTTTGTTTGAGGAAAAGTTTTATAACTGGATAATCTAACGTTTTAATCTAATAGTCTTCACTCCACACGGCTCTCAACAGATGATCAGTGTTTGTTATTATCAGTTTTCCCTGATAATAGTTGACTTAAAATACTCGTCTCCTGCTGCGCCGCTCTGTCAGATTACGTTTTAAACCTGCTTCATGTTTGTCAACTGAAATCATCCAATAATGTTCTATTTGTGTTAACATGTATTAGACTCATATTCAAGAACAGCTATGTTATTACTTTTGGTGTGCATACTTCCTGTGTTACGTTACAGCTATATCTACCATAGCCATGCTGTAGAATTATGATTATGTGTTGCCGAAATGAAACAACTGATTGT